TTGCGTTGAAACCTATATAATATAAAACACGATTTTTTCCAGAAAGTAGGAAAGTGACCAAATTTAAGTGAATAATTAAACAATACAGTTATAGGAAGTGCTAATGTTTCTGAACAATATTTAAGAATTATATTTGGTATGCCATCGGGTCCTGGACATTTAATCGATTTTAAACTACGCAGACTATTAGACACCTCCTGACGTTGTAGAAAATGCATATAAATTTGATCAGCCTGTGATAACTTATAAGGATACGAACCTTTAATTTGGCAAGATGTGCTGGAATAGGTTGTAGTAAAAAATCTGCGAAACATTCAGCAATATCTGTGCCTGTGACAAATTCTTTATTGTTAGATTTTAATAATGAGGGCTTTGAGGAAATTTTTCGTTTTAGATTAACAAAATCATAAAAAGATTTAGGATTGGATTTAAAATTATTTTTAATCTTGTCTAGGTAAAGATTATACAATCTACGAGACTCTAAAGTATATTTAGATCTAACAACAGAGTAATTAGTGTAGTCTATTGTTAAGCCTGTTTTTTATATTTACGAAAAAGCTTATTTTTAGAATTTTTTAAACTTGATTTTAAACTTGGTTATTCATGGATATTTATTTGAATTTTTAACTCTAGTGGTTGGAACACATTCCAGTTTAAATCTATTTAAGATATCATAAAATTTATCAATTAATTTAATTTAATGGGAATTTTTCAGACTGTTTATTTGATAAAGATTTAAGTCACACAAACTATTTATAACATCAAATGTACTGTTCATTTCCGATGGCAAAGGAATCAAAGCTTCAGAATCTGGCATTGGAAGCCACCTTCTGGAAGGCATATAAAAATCACTTAGGATCGATCGGAATCTTTCATTTTTTCAGTGATTGGATTTATTGCTGATAAATACTGATTATAAATGTCAAGTGAAGATGAAGGTGGAATATAAGAGCAAGCTACAAACAATTTAGATTTGCCCAATTCAATGGAAACACCAAAAAATTCCACCACCTTTTTACAAACACGATCCTTTCTAAACATTTGATATTTTGATATTTAATATAGATGTTTTAACAAAGTTTCGGAGAAAACCAGTGCATTATATTGAAACCAATGCTATCTGTATATAAACTGGTTAAATTTGTATTAAGCCCCCTTACATTCTGATAGCAAATAGAAAATTAGTCATTTATTTTTTATTAAGGACAAATGCAATGCTTACTTCCATAAATGGAGAAAGAAACATCTATAACGAAGAAAGTAACGCCCAAGACGCTATGACCATGTCGCATGATGATCCTTACAATATTTTGGAAGAAGAATTGGATAACTTGACTAGTTGCCGATTCTCAATCTGAAATAATGGCAATATTCGCATGTTTTTCATTTATTTTTATATTATATAATTTATGTCACACTTGAAGTGAAAAGATATTTTTTAACAAAATTTAAATTTTCATATATTTTTTTTTCTTTCTACCTGGTATATTTTATAGGACTTGAGCGATGATAAGAAAGGGCAATAATTATCGTGCTTTCGAACAAGCAATAAAAATCAATTTTGTAAACAGTATCATTCCTAGTTGAGATTTAAAAAAATGAAAAATAAAAAGAAGAAATTGTAACATTTGAAACGTGTTTGCTGTGGAGCGTCACTGTCAGGTTTTTTATGAAACATAGAAGAGCAGATTTGCTGCAATTCTAATTGGTGTTAAAAAGAAAGAAAATTATAATCAACGTGAATAATAAAAATAAGAATTGGCTGTATTTGTGCTGTGGAGCGTCTTGTACAGTTTTCTGCTGCGTAGTAAAGCTGACATTGCTGCAAGTCTTTTTGGTGGTGGTTTTGCAGTTTGGCGGTGGAGCGGCAAAAACACATTGGTGCATTGGGTAAATTGATGTGCCCTGAAAAATTAAACAATTGTGTGTTTTATCCCGAAAATCAACTTTAAATTGATTTCGGGATTGTGTGATGATGGCTGAACAAATTATTGACAAGGTCCAAGCTATGGACACAGCAGTAACTGTACCACAGTTTGAGGGTACCGTTACAAAATATGACGCTGAAAATAAAGATGTATGCGTGTCTGCGAGAAAGAGAAGGGTGTTTGATGCTGTTGATGCATGTGAAGTCAGAGGTGAGGTTGGTGAGAACAGAAATGGTGTTGGTGAAAAATGACAAACCAAAAGAAGAGGCGTGTTAATGAAGAGACGTTGCTGTATACAGAAAATCATAAGGGTAAGTTCATGGTATTAGTGGACACAAGTGAAGTAGGGAATATTAACAACAAAAGAATTAAAAATGGCCTTTACTTTTTTGAAAAAATCAAAGGTATTAAGGCAAAAGAACTGGAAAAAATTAAGCAAGTAGACGCAATCGGTGCAACCTGATTCAAAATCACCTTTGAAACAATGGAAGCGGCAAATACGTTCATCTGCAATAAAGAAATAAAGAAACGTAATATGCGGGTTTTTATTCCGAAAATTTTTTTTCAAACTTTCGGAATTTTAAGAAATATTCCAGTTTCATATTCCGACGACGAACTCCTCAAAGGGATTGTGTCGGACAGGAAGCTAGCCTCTGTGACTAGGTTCACAAGGAAAGATGTTAGTACTGAATCAGGTTTTAGACCCACTGAGACAATCAAGGTCGGTTTCTACGGCCGTCAGGCAATGTTTCAACTGCGGGCGCTTGGGACATACAAAGCTTGGCTGCAGATCTAACCCCAGATGCCGTAAATGCGGTAAAGATGATTGCAAAATGACTTGTACCATCAAAAGCTGTATTTTGTGTTAAGGATCTGATCACGTATGTGATGAAAGGGATAAATGTCCAATCAAAAAAAAAAAAATTTGGAAGCGGTTTTTTGAGGAACCATCTCCATCAAGCCCTGTTTATATAAAAGAAGACCAAAAACTTACTGAGTTGGAAACAATTACCAAAGAATTACTTAAATTTATGTATGATTTTTTCAAAAAGGATGAAAATCAAGAGGCAGTGCATGCTATTCAACATTTTCAACAAAGAATTCAAAAATGCGGAGTAACATTCGAAGGTAATAGTAATAATAAAATCTCAAATGATAATGTTGAATAGATTAAAAATTCTCCAGTATAACATACAATTTTTCAAGAATAATAAAAACTTCATTGAATTCTTTGCCAACAAAAACAACTATGACATCATAATTTTATCTGAAATCTTTTCAGAAGATAAGAAATGCAGAAACAAACTAATCAATTACAATCTATTGCAAAAATTCAGACCACATGGCTATGGAGGAGTGGTCATAGGGGTAGGAAAGAATATATATATATCAATAATAGAATATGATACTAATTATGACATCCTGATAATTAAAACCTCGAACCTACAGAGAAACGTCGTCATCATCTCTGTGTACTTTCCACCAACAATTTCAAATACTTGTTTTACCGAGGAAGTTTCCTTCTTGGAAAACTGTTAAAATGTAATATTATGTGGCGATTTCAATGCCCGCAATGAAGCCTGGGGAGATTATATTACCTCCATTAAAGGCAGAGAACTGAGTATGTTGATTACTGAAGCTGGTTATCTATTTTTCAACAACGGAAAAAAACCTTTAAGGGTGGGTCCAACTCCCAGGGATCGGTTCCTGACCTAACTTTTCTCAGCAACGTGTCTGGCGGTAACTGGAATGTTCTGGATGGACATTTTGGGGGCAGCCGTCATCTACCAATTACATTTGAAATTAAAGCGGAAAAGCCAAAAGGCCATAACTTCTTACACAAAGCAAAATTAATGAATGCACTTTGTGAGTTAGAGCTAGAACCTGACATATTGTCTATAGAGGATGCAATAAGTTCAGAAATAAAAGCCGCATCCAACAATCTAAGTGCCAACAGATCACCAAAGTATTGGTAGAATGATTCTTTGAGTGTTGCTTACCGAAATCAACTTGCAGCTGTTAAAAAAGCAAGGAAATATCCTAATTATCAAAGTCTAGCTAAAGCTAGTGAAGAGGTAGAAAATTGGAAAATGAAGGTCAATATGGCGAAAAATGATAGTTTTCTTTTCAAAATTAATGAACTTAACAAAAATGCAAACCCAAGAGAATCTTAGAAATTTGTAAATAATGTAAGGAACAGAGAATCTGCTGAGGTGAGACCATGGAATAATGACAGGAGCAGCCACTTTCTTCAGTATCTGAAAGATCAAGTACCTGGTGATGGGCTAGAAGTACTTAGCTATAGCGATCAACATCATTTCCACGACCAAATCATTTTTGACTTCGATCACTTTGAGAAAATACTATCGGAAAAAAGGGTCTGCCGGAGGGCATGACAAAATAACATACGAGATGATCAAGGCGCTACCTGGCATTTCTAAAAGAGCTATTCTGGCAGCTCTATATAATGCCTTTTTAGAGAACTCAATCAATGACAACTGGAGGATTATTAAAATAGTCCCAATTCCAAAACCCAATTCCTTCTGCAAGGACTTAAGCGACATGTCAAATTATCGTCCAATATCTCTCATTTCTGTCTATGAAATCCATCAATTTAATGCTTAAAGATAAGCTGGTACAATTCATTGATGATAATGAAGTTATTCCAGCGAGATCTTTTGTATATAGAAAAAGTATGTCTACATCTACATGTTTAAATGAATTTCTTCACCGCGTTGCACTACTAAAGGCCAACAACTATAAAGTACTAGTTCTGTCGCTGGACATAAATAATGCCTACAACTGTGTGAGAGTGGATATTCTCGGGCAGCTCTTGAGAAAGCTCAACTTCAACGTATCAATAGTGAATTGGATAATAAACTTTCTATCTAAAAGGATATTGAGACTGGGTGACAAAGAAGTTGTGGTGACAAACGGCTTACCACAAGGAAGCTGTCTATCTCCTCTGCTCTTTAACATCTACACAGCAAATCTTCATAAACTTGAAGATAATAAAACATTAATTTTTCAATATGCAGACAACATCCTTTTGATTTTGATTCGACAAATTACCTGGTTGCTGAATGTCACAAAATTTTGGAAAGATCCTCTATCGAAAAATGTCACATTGTATGGATCCCTGCGCACAGAGGCATTAGAATCAACGAAGAGGTTGACTTGCTTGCCAAACAGGCCTCTCTAGTTGGTGCTCCTGTAGATGTATTTTTAACACCTAAAGAGGCGTATTCCAGAATCGAAAATCTGGTGAAAGATGACTGGAATGAAGAATTTATAATACTATCCGAATCAAAAGGCAGTCACTTCTTTCAGATTACAAATAACATATACAAAAAGCCATGGGTTTCTAAAATGAATTTTGGTCCTAGTGATACTAAGCTAATAAACAGACTGATTGCTGGTCATACCTTTGACAAAAAGTATTTACACCGGATAGGAGCTGCAGACTCGAATTTGTGCGAGACATGCGCATTGCCGGAAACCGCTCACCATTTGATTTTTGACTGTGTAAGATTCAACAATATAAGAAGAAAGTATCCCCTCCTTTTCCCTAAATACCATGGACTAATCCAAGGACCACAACCTATACAACCTTCTCCTAATGTTCCTGAACGAAACGAAAATTAGTTTATAAACACCCTCTCCCACCTGTGATACACAAAGCTGTGATATTAGTTTACGTTTTCTTTTTTTTTCTTTCTTATTTTTATTTGATGTTGACTAAGTTATACCATCCCATTCCCCATTTTTGGCCCATTATTTTCCTTTTGCAATTGGCATGCAGGTATTCCAACCTTTGGAACACAACTAGATACACAATTGGGATATTCCCAATCGCTTGAACTCTATCAGCTGCGGACTGGGCACCTTCTGTCTGTTTACGTCGTGCCTTCCTGCATCTGTTACGCAAGTAAATCTACCTCTCAACCAGGATGTCGTGAGTTAAAAACTTTTTCTTAAATATAAAAATTACAATAACAAAATAATCAAACATAAATTTAACTACAATTCGACATTTGTACTTATGTACTATCGCACGATTTTTATACTGTATTTGCAGTAATCCGAAAAATTTATATTTGCAAACCACTTTGGAACAAATGATCATTGGTTTGAAATCGAATTCACTAGTGACCAACCATTTTGGAAAATAAAATCATCGGAGTGGAGTAATCTAGCAAATCATTTTGGAAAATAAACTTATTGGATTGAAGGTCACTTTTCAAGAATTTACCTTATTTTGTAGTACAACCTAGCATTTTGTATCCTGAGGATCGCCAATTCTGCTCTCTACAACATAGGAGAGCTCGATTGATAGTCCAAAAAAACAGTATCATAAAACATTCTACCTGGTTACAAAATGTAAACACACACTAAACTAATGTGCATGCGTGTGTTTTTAAACGATCGCGAACGATTAAAAATACGATCTTCCCGCAAGAGCTCATTTTGCGTTCTCAAAAGATTGACGACGCACAGTATCACGGCAGTGGCCAAAAATGGTCAAAACTATGTGTTTCTTACACATTTTTAATGGGAAATGACAGAAAACTTTTTAATTTGAAAGAATCTGAATTTTGGTATTGATACATCACGTATTCTTTACGACATGGGGATCTAAATCCGACTGTTGTAAGTAATCAGTATTTTTTTCCTTTTTTGACTAAAATCAAAAAATATGTGATGAACAATTATAGGAAATTTTAAAGTTTCGATCGCTTCAAATGTTGTTTGTAAGCTTTCTTAAGGATGTAATAAACATGGCTCCACTTTTGTTTGCATGTAAATACTGATCGTATGGTGTTTACAGTTATCCAAAAATGCAGTACTTATTTCATTACTTTTGTTAAGCAAATTAATTAGTGGAGTTGGAAAAAATTGGTATAAACGTGTATGTCAATATTATTTCTTGTTTGGTTCGTGAAAAGTGGGTACTTCACACGTATAAAGGAGACAGCTGCTGAGGTCTGAACATGTTATTTATCGTTTTCAGTAACCACCTCATTAAAAAAATATGATATATTTTTGAACTGAACAGCATTGACGTATCGGAATAGACAATATATTAGGTCCACACTCACAAAATTTGTTGAATACAAAGTGGAGAGGCAACTTACCGATATAGAAAAAACCCAGCTTGTAAGCATTTTCACAAGATTGTCCGATAATTGGAAAAAATATCATTGTAACAGACTAAGAGTAGAAGCAGCTTTAAAAAATTGGCTTGATAAGGATGCATTCGAATTAGATTCAATCGAGCAGAACCAAACGCCGACGAATTGGTGAACTTGTGGCATCGACTTCGTTAGAAGTCATAACAACAGCTGCAAAGAAAATTTGAAACACAACAGTACAAAAGCTTTGGCTCTCTATATCGATATCGACATTTGTCAGTCAGACAATATAATATGATGAGAAACGCTATAAATACCATTCATATAAACTGTTTCCCTCGTATTATGCTGTAGCGGAGGCTAAGAAAAAATGATTCCTAAATATATAGAAGTGACAGAAATATCAATGAAAGTTCCGTTACAAACAATTTTGGATAATACAACGTAAAGTATTTTAACTAAAGAATGTAAATGGAGATTTGATAGTAGCAGTGGTCATAGTCTTTATAAGCAAAAAAATTCAAAATGAAAACGAAAATATGTGGTAGAACGATAAGCACTCTTCTCCAAGACTATGTAGACCAATTAAGATAATTTTTAGTAAAGAAAATGCACAGACTATACTTGAAGTCAATGAAAATATATAGAGCGAAATTTCAAATTTGAAGGCTAGTCAATAGAGGCCCAAAACTTGTAATATTATGGTTTTTCATCGTAGATAAAATTTTTTTGAATGCATTGTTCGCTCTTAGAATTAGGATGAAATGTTTGTCATCCCTAACAAATGAGAGCATTTATCGAAAAAAGTGTGACATTTCAAAATTCATTATATACAAATGTTATGAAATTTTATAATTTTTCCGGAAGATTTAAAATTATGTATGAAAGATATAATGTTGAATGCCAGATGTGCATTCAAACGAAAGTAAATTTTATTTCCCTCCTATCCTAGGTACGCTTTTTGTTCATGAGTTGGAATTTCGACAGAAAACTGGAAACAAAAGAAACAATATTTTCAAAAATTTTGTGTCGAAAAAAATTATTTGACAAGTAACTCTCTAACGGAATTTTAAAACAGAAAAATACAAAAATATATGCAAAATGTCAACATTTATACAAAACTACATGAATGAAAATTGTTAAATGAAAGATAAAATAAATCTTTTGAGGAAAAACAATAATATCTTTTATTATTTTTAATGCTAATATCATGTACTTTCGTGCAAATTCCTATAAAATTCAACAAACAAAAAATTTGAAAAAATGAATTTTGTTACTATGAAATACGAATCGTACCGTATGAACGAGTTAATTCATGTACCTTATTCTCAGAGCGTAAAACGCGTTTGAAAATGCAATGAGAACATATATGTTATATGCTATATGCATTAATATGGGACTTATTGTAGATAGAGTAAAACCGGGGTACGGGTCATCAAATGACGGAAATACTGCTCGACGTTATTTAGTTTTTTTTTTCAGCATTGACTAGACATCATATATTACTGATGTCAACAAAGGATTGATATACAATTGTTCTCTTATTTGATGGACGATGGAAGTGGAAGTAAATTAAAAGTAGATACATTTCAAAAACTTCTTAAAAAAACATGGGAACGTTGCATGAAACTATACTCATTGCATGGCAGAAGAATACAGTTAGATGCATCAACGCTTGGGAGCATTGATACGTCAAAAAAATAGAACAGTGTGGCTTGTTTGTTCGGGATACCGTAGTATTTTGTTTTTGCAAAATGGTCTGGCTTTATCCCTTTATTGTTGTTTTTATAAAAACAACGTTTGTTTATTAGAGGAGAACGATGGTAATGTTTACCAGGGGGTAAGGCAGGGAATACCTAGGTTTCGGAAAGAGCCACCAATCCTCATCAGTTCCCTTGTGTTTGCCTGGGATATTCTCCCCAGAAGTTATTTTAAAAATAACTTCTATGACAAAAAACATTTTTTACCCAAGTGACGAGATCGTAAGCTCAATAGAAGAGGAACCAAAGAATTAAATAAAACTAAAATTCTCTTGGAAAGTCTTCTAAATCTTACAACCGCACTTATAAACATTTACATCTTTCTCCACTTGTTATGCTTTCGTTCAGCCTGAACGAAGTAGCATAACCATGTAAGTTGGTTTTGTCTGTTACAACAAAAACCCCTTCGTCGACCGTGCCTTGTCCATTAATAGAACAGTGTGGCTTGTTTGTTCGGGTTACCGTAGTATTTTGTTTTTGCAAAATGGTCTGGCTTTATCCCTTTATTGTTGTTTTTATAAAAACAACGTTTGTTTATTAGTGGAGAACGATGGTAATGTTTACCAGGGGGTAAGGCAGGGAATACCTAGGTTTCGGAAAGAGCCACCAATCCTCATCAGTTCCCTTGTTTTTGCCTGGGATATTCTCCCCAGAAGTTATTTTAAAAATAACTTCTATGACAAAAAACATTTTTTACCCAAGTGACGAGATCGTAAGCTCAATAGAAGAGGAACCAAAGAATTAAATAAAACTAAAATTCTCTTGGAAAGTCTTCTAAATCTTACAACCGCACTTATAAACATTTACATCTTTCTCCACTTGTTATGCTTTCGTTCAGCCTGAACGAAGTAGCATAACCATGTAAGTTGATTTTGTCTGTTACAACAAAAACCCCTTAGTCGACCGTGCCTTATCCATTAATAGAACAGTGTGGCTTGTTTGTTCAGGATACCGTAGTATTTTGTTTTTGCAAAATGGTCTGGCTTTATCCCTTTATTGTTGTTTTTATAAAAACAACGTTTGTTTATTGGTGGAGAACGATGGTAATGTTTACCAGGGGGTAAGGCAGGGAATACCTATAAGTTATTTTAAAAATAACTTCTATGACATCTATCTATTGAGCTTACGATCTCGTCACTTGGGTAAAAAATGTTTTTTGTCATAGAAGTTATTTTTAAAATAACTTCTGGGGAGAATATCCCAGGCAAAAACAAGGGAACTGATGAGGATTGGTGGCTCTTTCCGAAACCTAGGTATTCCCTGCCTTACCCCCTGGTAAACATTACCATCGTTCTCCACTAATAAACAAACGTTGTTTTTATAAAAACAACAATAAAGGGATAAAGCCAGACCATTTTGCAAAAACAAAATATGTCAAAAAAATTTAATTTTTTTTTTTCAAATATAAGTAGATTTTTATATGTTTTCTTTACTACGTCAATCGGAGGCTATTATAAATCACGTCTTTCAACAATTTTTAAAAATTTAAATAATTTTTCATTCAACATTTTCAATTCCAAAATTGGTTTGACAGTTCATTATCCCAGCAGCTGTGTGGACGCGTCTACCTATATTCTTCTACTATGACTCATTGTATTACATAAAATTT